GGGCCTTTTCCTGGAGGTGAAGCTTCCTTCCTAGAGGGCTCTGTGTGCGTGTGAACATTACTGCACAGATCGACTGATTTCTCTGATTATTCTTCTGATGGTGACACATGGACACATCAGGACATCTGCAGCTTTACTGTGGTTTGTTCTTTAAATGACAAACATACCACGAGGAGGAGCAGGTCCACCTGTTAGTTTCTGTATACAACTGAAGAACATTTGCTCTTTCATGACTATTAGATTCAGTTTAACTTGAATTCATGTAAAAGAGTAAGATGCTCAGAAGGGAAGAAAGAAGTTTAGTCAGATGACTTTCAGCAGCTCTGCTCTCGTGAAACAAGGAAGGAAAAGCATCTTTCATCACATTCAAGCATTCATGGTGGAACCTCATCATGATCATCATTGCTGTGTTTCTCCGTTTTACACAACACTGTTTGGGTGTTTCATGGCGCGAGTATTTGTCTTTCAGATGGCGGTGTCCCAGAACACGGCGGCAGCATGGCCAGCGGCAGTGGGCGAGGCCGAGTATGGCGGTGGCTGCTTCCTCTTCCAGCTGGGCAAGATGGGCATACTGTCCTGTTTGCACAGATTCTTATCTGGCCGCTGACGAGCTTTGATCTCTCGACATAAAACTCTCTTTTTCTCAATCATCTCCATCATGGTGGCGTCGCCACATAGCCATGGCATCTGGACACAAAGAACAGCTCGACATCAACAGACCCATACCTCCCTTCTCACTGCAAACTACACTGAGACACAACGTTACTGTGATGTTTCACACAACTGCTGGCTGTGGACGCCCTGCAGGTCCACATTCCTATTCCTAACCTGCTTTCTTTGACCCTGATAAAAATGTCACTGAGGTCAAGGAAAAGAGAAGAGCCTGAGGACAGGATCGACCTCACATTTGTTTTTCCTCCATGATGTGACATTGGATGTCTGAAGTGCTCACACTACAGTTTGCAGAAGATGGACTACAACACCTCTAACTTCCCTACAACATTGTTTTCTGGAGGTAATTTATACCAGAAAAGTCTGTGAAATATAAGGTTTAACTTCAACCTTTCTGTGAAATATAACATCCAGGGTTAGATTTACTAATGTCTGTAGCAAGGCCGTCTTTTGATGTTATAAATGTGCTGGTCAGTTTTAAAGTCTTAAATAATCAGGC